GCCGACTCAGTGAGCACCCATGGGGAAAAATTAATGGGTGCTCTGCTCCCACTGGCAGCCAAGCTCCCCTCACCCTCCCGTCCCACCTCCTCCTCCTCCTCCTCCCCCTGAGTGCGCTGCATCCCCGCTCCTCCGCCTATCTCTCAGCGCTTCCCCCCGGCCGCCACCAAACAGCTGTTTGGTGGCATGCTGGGGGGGAGGAAGGGAGGGAGGGGGGAGGAGCAGGAACATGGCGCGCTCAGCGGAGGAGGCGGGGAAGAGGCAGGGCTGGGGAAGGGGTTGGAATGGGGGCGGGGCAGGGGTGGGGCAGAGGTGGGGCCGCATGGACGGGGTGGAGTGGGTGTGGGGCTGGGGGCAGAGGTGGGGTCGAGCACCCAGGGGAAAGTGGGGAAGTCAGCGCCTATGGTCTCAAATGTTTAGCTTTAAAGTCATAATAATTTAATGTTAGATTTTACATCTTATTTAGAAAATCTAAATCAGCGGTTCTCAAACTGTGGGTCAGGACCCCAAAGTGGGCTTTGCTCCCCCCTCCTGGGGCTGTGTAGTAATGTTTGTTGTCAGAAGTGGGTGGCGATGCAATGAAGTTTGAGAACCCCAGATCTAAATGATTCTAAGCATGTTCCAGATAGAAGTAACTTCTGTGAATGAGTCATATAATGGTATAATTTATCAATATTCTGTTTAGAAAGAACATTTAAGTGAAAAGTGAGAAAGGAGAGTCTAGTAGTTAGGCTATTAGCCTGTTCCCCGCTACACCACAGATTTCTTCTGTGATCTTATCACTCAGTCTCTCTGTGATTATATACTATCTATAAGATGGGGATAATAGTACTTCATAGGCATAATCTGAGGAATAATATTTTAAAAGATTGTAAAATGCTCAGATACTATGGTAATGGGGGTCATATAAGTACCTAAGATAAAAAAGTAATAAGCACCTGGTCTCGCATTTATACTTCTATCCCAACACATTCCTGTTCTATGAGAAACTCTAATTTATACTAAATATAAAAACTCTGAATAAGATCCTGACCTAATGTAAATTGCTATATCTCCACTGTAGTCAGTCTGGTCCTTAGTTTCAAAAGCCACTTAAAGTTGCTAAGGACTTGTCAACAATGTGCACCAATGGGTTGCGAACTTAACTGGCTCATGTAAACCCTACTGGCACCCACAAAAAGTTCTCTGGTGTGCGTTTAGTCCATGCCAGCAGGCTCCATGTGGTCCAATTAGTGCACTTTACGTTGGTACACATTAAAATTCATACCACTCTGGTGTGCATTCGCGCACCGTGTAGACAAGTCCTAAATGACAATGGTTTACATTATTTACAATATCAAAGTACTCAATAGAGAAAGGAAATGAAAAAATCTTACATTGTCCATACTAGCCCTGATTCTTCCTAACTTTACATAGTGTGTGGTCATTTGCATCCATTTACAGTGAATGCAAAGTGAGTGTAAAATATTAACGTTCTGACGTTTTACACCCATTTACCACACGCTCTAAGGGCTGGTCTACACTACGCGAATAGCGTAGCTGAAGTCGAAGTATCTTGGATCGAATTACCTGGGGTCCAGACGGCGCGGGATCGATGGCTGCGGCTCCCCCGTTGACTGCGCTACCGCCGCTCGCTCTGGTGGAGTTCCGGAGTCGACGGTGAGCGCGTTCGGGGATCGATATATCGCGTCTTAACGAGACGCGATATATCGATCCCGGATAAATCGATTGCTACCCGCCGATACGGCGGGTAGTGAAGACGTACCCTAAGTGACTACATGAGGCAGAGGGCTGCAGAAAGCCAAGCACCTTATTTTTACTCTGCCCTATTTTATCACTATTTATTATTGTTTGAAATCTTAACTTTGTTATGTAAATTATTTCTTTTAAAGGATACATATATATATTTAGATAGTAAATATTATCAGTTAATACATTAGTTGATTGACAGTAGAATTTTTGTAATATGTTTCTTATTAGTTTCTTATTAATAATATTATATGTTTGAAGTTTAATAAGAAATGTTTATTAGAGTTTTGATTTAAGGAAGAATTAAGTTTGCATATGGACTTGCATTGAGGCTTATCAGTGTAGTATTGGCAGGTATATTTTATTTACATATATTTCTTATTCAAAAAGGTTTTTGTGTTGTATTTATATTTTAAGATTATGGATAAAAGAATCGGCTAATGTTTTCAAAAGTGACTAGTAATTTTGCATGCTCCAGATTGGGAACAGCTAGATAAAGAAAACAGATTTTGTTTTAAAATGTGTTTGCAAATACATTTTAACTAACGTGATTTTAAACAGGACTTTGCACCTTGCATACACAGGGCAAATCATTTTTAAAAACATATGACATGACTTGTCCTGTCTATAATATGGGTAAAATTCTGCCCATCTTTAAGTCAATGGGTGTTTTGGCATTTTCTTCTATGGACCCCTATACGCAAAGCCCAGTTCAAAATTGTTTTAGTTAAAATATGTTATGTTGTGTTTTAAAACACATTAGTTATTTGCCTATGCTAAACATGGAAAAAGAGGCCTCATTTTTCAGAAGATGAGTGTTCAGCACCACGTCCCTTTCAGGTGTCTAAGTTGGACACTCAAAAATAATAACATGGTTATACTGGTGAGAGGCAAAGTAGTATTATAAATCAGAAACTGGATAAAAGATAGAAAATATTAGTAAAAAAGGTCAATTTTCATCATGGCTAAAAATTAACAATCCAGTGCCACAAGATTCCATACGAGGTGCTGTAAGGATATGGAAAACAGGGTGAGCAATGAGGTAGCAAAATGCACAGATGATTCAAAATTATTTAAGTTAATCAAGACTAAAGAAAAATGTCAGGAATTTCAGAGATCTAACTGAGGCAGGTGAATAAACAACACAAGAGTGGATGAAATTCTATTTCTTTTTATTGAGAGAGACAAGGTGGGTGAAGTAAATATCTTTTATTGGACCAACTTCTGTTGGTGGAAGGGACAAGCTTTTGAGCTTCACGGTGCTCTTCCTCAGGTCTGAAGAAGGTATCCAGAGTGTCCAAGCTAAATACAAGATAGATCAGATTGTTAAGCATCTTCATATCCTGGGACCATAACAATACTGCAAACATTACTTCTTATTTTATATGTTTTTGTTTTGTAAATTATGTGGTAAGTAATCTTGTTATCTAAGTAAACTTTGTCATCTTAAGTGGTTTTGACACCAAGTTTTGTGTTTTGGAATTTTCTCACCTTCCTCCCCTCCCCATCTTTTATTTTTTTAAATTGTCAAAGTAAATAAAGATACAGTTTATAATGTCAGATACATCAGATCCATTGGAAACTCTTAAGGGGAAGTATTGTATCTTCCTATGTATTCGTACAATGCCTAGCAGAATTCAGCCTCGAACATGGTTGGGCCTTTGGGCACTTCAACAATAAAAAATAAATTAACAGAAATAATTAATGATGATTATTAACCACAGTTAAATCAACTGTGTGCAATTAAATAATAATATCTTTCTTCAAATCCTTGCTTAAAACTCTTCTCTGGTGTGATGCCTAAAAAAACCTCGAAAATAGTCAGGCATCTGGTTTCCAATGAGTACTGCTTTCCACAGTTAGCATTATTTCCTTATGCTCCCTTTGTCTGTTTGTTGTATCCACCTGTAGTCTACAGTCTTACACTTTTGATTTATGCATTGCTTAATTTTATGCATTGTGAACAGTCAGTGGGACTATTCACACTGTGTAAAGTTAATCAAGCCTGTGAATCTTTGCAGGATCAAGGCCGTAGATTATAAAACCTTCAGGGCAGGGATTGTCTCTTCGTTACATGTCTGTACAGTGCCCAGCACAAAGGGGCCCTGGCCTCTAGGAGCTAGCGCAATACAAATTTTTAATGTTCATATTAATAACAATATAAAGAAGGGGATCAGTCACCTGTTTATCGAATTAAATGAGGGAACATGGCTAGCTAAACTAAAACTAGTCAGCTAACATCCATTTTCTTATAGAACGTTTGAAATTGTTGTGGAAATAAACCGTCAGTGACAATGCACTCTTTACATTCAATAAAACAGCCCAGTATGTGTGTAAAGGGTATGTAGACGGCACTTTTGTGAAAGCAATGTATTGCCCCAATATTTTTTTCTTTGACCACTGAAAGAATTCAGGGACGAAACAGACTATATTCCCCATCCATTTTAATGTACAGTGATGGACAACTGTGTGTAGTAGTTGACAATTTCTTAAAGGTGACCTGCAGATGAAAGAAAAATTGAGTGTACCGAAGGCCTGAAAAGGTGATGTTCAAAACCAAAAAAACCTTTTTTATGTTAGTCCCTGTCTTCCCTGTTTCTTTTCCTCTGCCCCCTCTCCAGATATGCTCCCCAGTACCCTCCCTTTTTTTGCTCCTTTCCAGTCTTTCACCATGCATTTGCTCACCTGCTCCCTCCTCCTAAATGTTTGCTCTTCCCCAACAACACATTTTTGTTCCACTCCCTGTTGTGGTTTTTGCCCCCTGCGTTTGTCCTCCTCATTTTTTATTGGTCTTTTCGTGATTGCCCCTTTTTTCTCGCTCCCCAGTGTTGTAGCCCGCCTGCTTCCCCTCCTCAATGTTTTTGCTCCTTTTCCCCTCTTTTTTGGTCCTTCCCCGTGTTTTATTGATCTCGTCACTCTGTTTTTGTTCCTTCACTCTCCCTTCCCTGTTTTACCTCCCCTTCTGAGTCCTCCCGTCCCCCCCTTTGTTCTTTTCCTCTCCCCTGCCCCCACACTCGGTTTTGCTCAGGGATCCGATCTCTGATGGCAGGTGAGAGCAGAAGCAAGGGCAGCGGCCTCGCTGTTGTGAATGCGCATGCTCCTATCTCTTGGCGAACAAAATCTGACACTCCATCGGCTCGGGGAACTGGCAGCGCGTGCGCAGGCAGCTCCATCCAGCAAGGGAACCTTGAATTTCTCTGGGATTCCCGATCTGCAGTGCAGAGCAAAGCGGAGGAACGTGTGGAAGCAGCTGCTGGCGCGCTCTATAAGGGGATTTAAGCCGCAGAGAGAGCGGGAGAGGCAGGGACCGATTCACCATTGATCTGAATTAAATACTTCTCTCTCTCTCTCCCTAAAAATCTGCCCTTTTGAGTTTTATTCTTTGCTTCAGGTGACAGCACACAACGCAAACTGTAAGTGTTCCCTTTCTCTTGGATGCTAATTTAGGGTTCATGATGGGGTTGGAATTTCTTGCACCAATGTATCTTCTGCATGGATGCGGTGAAATGCATGGTTACAATAAGGTGCTGTCGGCTTTGCTTCATCCCGCTGTTTGCTAGCAATAAAGGATGAGGGGGGCGAACATCTTGTGATGGTGAAAAGAGAAAGTGAACTGTGAAGTGTTTGCTTGCACGATGTTTAAGAATTAGGATTACTTTTTAAAGTCCGCTGCGGGGTTTGACAATAGGGGGAGGGGGAGTATAACTACATATGATTTTTAAATCTATAAATAGAAACCTTTCCCTACATACACACATCTTTAGATCCAGATGGCGAAGTTCTGTTGCTGATAGAAGTGGGGGATAAAATGAGAGGGTTGTAAAGTGTCAAACTGTCTGACATCCTGTCGGTGCAGATTTCTTTCCCCCCGGAAAAGTGGCAGAAGTGTTTGCTAGTGAAAGTGGATGAACTGGATAGGATGGAAATAGAAGGAGGCTTTTGTGCCATATGTTAGTACTTAAAAGCTTAAAGCAATGTGGTTATCTCTGCCTCTTTTTAGCGCTTACAAATAATCGTAACGAGCAAAGTTGTGTAACATTGCTTTTCCTTTCTTAATACTTTGTGTGCGCTGTTGTTTTTATTGACCAAATGGAGGGAAATTGTGTCCACAGCAATCTGCCTTGACCTGTTTTAAGATGAGAGACTGACTGCTATATTGATTAGGATATAAATACCAACATCAAAAGCAGGCATTGATCGCTCGCTTAATAATTTGGGTTTGGGCATGTTTTGCTGATAGCCGGAAGCCTTTGACATTTCTAATCACTTGAAAAGCAATAGAGAAAAGGTCATTATGTTTTCCAGTGCAAACAGACCATGCGAAAATTAAGAGGAAGATCAGTAGTCCCTGCAAGGTCATCAAACCCATTGTGAAGAGCAAATTGCTAGAGATCCTTGCGATTACTTTCTTGATAGACTTGGTTTGTGTGACAGATGTTTCTTTTAAGTGGTCCACCCTTTTGTGCATCTGCAAGATATTTTCAGGAATAAGCTTTGGAATAAGCGCGCTCATCTCACTCCTCTGATGTGGTAAACTGCACGGTGGATGTGCTGCGCTCCTGTTTACTTGGGAATAGAACGAGGTGAAAATGGAGGTGGGTGGAGATAACAAAAGCTGGTGTGCAATCCAAGTCATTTCCCACAGGAAGGCGTGAGAAGGAGGGAGGGGAGACGAAAGGAGAATTTCATTTCCAGAGATCAAAACAAAGGAGAGGCAAGTTGGGGCAGATCTGCAGAACTCGTGTGGGAATCGGGGCGTTTTTCTCGGTGACCCAACCAGTTAAGAAAGGTTTCATAAAAGCTGCTGTCGCTTGACTGCTCTGTTCTGTGTTATTAAGAAATCCAGCACGTTTTATAGCTAAGGGACTGGGACAGGTCAATCTCTATTTAGGGAATTTAGGCAGGGGGTCTCGACGCAGGTAGTACATACAAGGAATAATGTGGCAAGGGCAGCAAAAAGTGCAGTTTAAGAATAAAACGTTTTAAAATAACGAGTTAGAGAGCTAAGAGGAAACATATACTGGGAGTGTACCTCAAAAGTGGGAACTTCCCTTCTCCCCTCCTTCCATACCTCCCAGGTATTTGGCCAACCTAAGAGGCAGATTCCTGATATTGCAAAGGGAGTTTGTTAGCGCATGAACAATTGTGTGTGCTCAGTACAGGTTTTTTTTAATTGTGTCTCATTCTGCACAGAAGGGTCATGCATAGGCTGAAATATCCAGAATAATGGGATACAGGGGACCGTTTGGTAGAAAGAAGGAGGAAGACGTTGAACACTTCTGGAAACCCCACATTGCGTAACAACAGCGGTTTAGAGCGAGACCCCTCCTCCCTCGGTATCTTAAAAGATGCTGTTAGAAATACATGCCAGACCTTCCCTAGCGTTTCTCCCAGCCCCCAACTCCTTTCTGCACACACATGACCCCTCTGCAGCCTCTTACTAAAACACCAACAAGCCCCTCTGCACCAACTTGACCTTCCCTTTATTGCCTCTGCGCATACCAGATCCTTCTGCATACCTCTCCTCCATTCTGCAGGTACCAGATCTCCCTGCAACCTCCTCTCTGCACCCACCAGACCGCCCGCATCCCTTTACCAAAACCCAGCAGCTCCCTCTTTGCACCTACCAGCCTCCCCCGCCCTTTACCTCCTCTCCGCATACTGGGTCCCCACTACAGCTCCTTGCACACGTTTCCCATGCAGCTCCTTCTTTTCTCTTACCTGATCCCCCCTGCAGTCCCCTCTCTCTATACATCGGACCCCCTGCAGTAGTCCCCTCTGCACAGACTAGATCCCCGCGGCTCCCTCTCTGCACACGACAGATCTTCTTGCAACCCCTTCTCTGCATATACCAGAGTCCTCTGCAGCCTCCTCTCTGCACACACGAGATCTCCCCGAGAGCCCCTTTGCACATACCAGATCACCCCGCACCTTCTGGATCTGCAGGAATTAGACCCTCCTGGCCGTTCTCTGCACCCCGCAGATTCCTCGTCGTTCCCTCCTGTACCTCCCACCCCACAAACACGAGCCCTTTCTCTTCTGCCGTTACCGACTGCGCTTCCCTGCTTTGTCCCTGCGCCTCACCGCTTTGTCCCTTGACTCAGAAGCTGTTGGAGATGTGGCCCTGCGGAACGTGGTCCTGAGGCGGAGGTGACAGATGCGCCTTTCTGCTCCCCAGTGATGCGGGGCTGGGGGCTGGTGTGAAGATCATGGTGGGGTGCACCGTGCACCCTAACCTTATGTAACTGCACTGAATCCGCGGCGGTAATTGGCACGGCGGGGGGAGGCTGTAAACCGATCCCGCCGGGGTCCTCCTCCAGGCAGGAGCTCTCCCCAGCCCCCTGCAGAGGGGGAGGATTTTTGTGACACAACTGCCGAGGCACCAGATGCCGAGCAGCCCTGTTTCCTACTCATCAAAGTCTGTGGAAAGTCAGACCCTGGGGGGGCACCTGAAAACAGCCCCAGCTGGGTATGTTTTGTGGGGTTGTGGAAAGCGACCTTCCTTTTACTGCTGGGCCTCAACTTCAGAACATACAGACCCAGCATCCCCCACGCCAGGTGCTCTGCGCTCTCCCAGGTGGAGGTGGAGGCTTGGCAGGTTAGTTCTTAGCCTTTTATGGAATTCCCCAGGTCAGGGAGCTCTCCTTGGCGTTCTATAAAACCCATTAACATTGCGGAAGACAGTTCTCCTGTCCTGATGAGCAGCCTGAAAATGAATCACCGGGCAGCAGCAGCGAAGACTGATCTGTACTTTTGGCAGCTGCTGCAGAACAGCAGCATGTGAACAGGCAGAGCAGCCCTCCAACTGCTTCTTGCGGCTGCCCTCGAGCTCTCAGTCCCTTTCCCTCCCCCACTGCAAAAAGCTTCTCCCCTCTCCAAGGTGGCCTCAAGATCACACCTGCTACCAAGAGATAATTTAAAGGTATCGATTTCAGAATTAATTTAGAATCTAAAGATTTTATAGTAAGGCTATCGGAGGAATTAGGGGCATCCGGATATGCAATGTTTTTTAATTAAGAGGAAACCTTTTAGATAACAGTATAACATTTTTTGAGGGGGGCAGTTTACAAAGATCGACCCAATTTTAATTACAAATGAAACATGATTATTTTCAGGCTTGTGACATGGCCAGTTAGTGAAATATTGAATCGATGTATGATTGCTATGCTATTGCAAAGATGTTCATGCAGCAGATATATTAAAAGATAGAGGCCCTTTCCTAATGATTTTAGTAGCCACAATGGTAAAATTTTATAGCAAACATTTTGGCGGATCTGAATTCTGCTCTTGTCGTATTAAATTGCTGAGCTAGAAGGATCATCAGTGGCCATTTATACGTAAGACTAAGTAGTAAAAGCAATGGATTTATTAGGTAGAATATGGTACACAACAAAATCTAGACAAACCAGAGCAACAGAAAGGTGTGAAAACAACCTTGATCTTTGTAAAATTTATTCTCGCCAGTCCCCTCAAAATATATTGTTTACACAGCAGTTTGTTTCTATGGCAAGCTCTCAGATATATACAGATATTCATACTATGGCTTCTTTGACTTTGTAGAGAAAACATTTTAGCAATATCAGTTCAATTGAAAAGCCTTCTGTATTATCCATTTTAAGTTTGGGGACTGAGAGTAATTTTAATTCATACTTTTATTACTTTTCTCCTTCCATTCCCAACTCTCCCAATAAATAAATAAATTCATAAAGTAGTCTGAGTTGCTGTCACTATCAAGAAAAAAATTAAAAATGTCTTTAATCTTCATTATACAATACACACCTTTTAAAAAAGGCGTGCTCCTGCTCCCATTGAATTCAATGGGAGTTCTGCTATAGACTTCACTACGAGCAGGGCTGTGAATATAATTGTTCTTTTGAATGGTCTGATCTTTTAAACATTTACAGATATATGCCATGACATATAACTACACCTTTCATTTTTTACCTTTGTTTTTTAGAAGTAGTCTGTGTATGTGAGTGTCTGGGGGGAAGGGAATATTGAGGTAAACCAAGTAGATTTTGGCTGCTTGGATTTTGTTTGTGCAGATGTAAGTCAGTATACATAGATCCCACATATGCGTCAAAAATATATTTAATGAATGGAATAGCTAATCATAGAATAAACATCAAAATGTCTTCACACTTTACTAGTATGTTGCTTATAAATCTATTAAGATGTTCTCTAGTTTGATAAGCAGATTCAAAGCCTGGGACTGTGGTAATTTGTCATGGTACTTAGCCTTTTCAGTGGTTAGTTTGTCACAGTGTTACATAACCGTAGTACTCTAAAAGCAAATGTCAGAAATGTTTTCATTCCCTCTCTCCACCCCCAATCTATTTGTGTAAATCTACCAAGAGAAAAAAGGCACAACTTGACATCTTACTGTTTATATAATACAAACAAAGTCAAATCT